CAGAGAGCTCAAATGTTGCTTGATTTACGCATATTCAAACAGCGGCACAATCTAGGTCATAAAAAAAAGGACAAAAAGTGCCAAAGGTGTCAATTAAAACAACAGTGCAAATGTGCCAAATTTTTGGCGCAAAAATGAAGTCGTAAAATTCACAGTGTCATTCGGCGAGATTGCAAATATGGATGTTGGCGCTCAAACATACACAGCACGCGCACACACAGGCCCTCGAGAACTATCAGTTCGTCGTTAATACTGCTTCGCAGTTCAAGACGTGGCGGCAGCATTAGCGATGATGCACTGAATTCCAGTTCTCAATATTAAAAGTCCGCAGGATCTGCGAACTGGAAACAGTAACAAACCTGGAAATGAGGAGAAGAAACACATCTCGCCAGCTGCCGAAATAGAGGTACCATGACTTTCTGGAATTCAGCCGGTTCGATAACGTCCAGGATCTCTTCGAACTCGTTTAAAAACATCACCTTTAAAACCAATAAATGCCCTTAATTAGCATAGAATTTGTCGAGAATATGTTCTACAAATGCGCAATACTCCTTCGTTTTGCGTTTGTTATGGTCAAAAGACTGTGTTTTCTTGGGTTTTACTTTGTTCTGCTAAAATTTCAGGTTAAAATAGCTAGCAAAACTATGGCACGTCAGTCACTAGGACCAATGAATTACTGGACGATCCCAGTCCGCGCACCAGAAGTGAATATATTGCGTCCAGCTCGCAAATGATCAATAAGCAGTTCGGGACGACGTCACCCAATGCTCAGAGGATCTTTGCAAATTTTTGATCGCAGATAAAACTTAGCTTCTCACGGTAACCAATTCGAATCGCTCAAGGAACTGTGCGAGCAGCAAGTACCTGACTTTTTAGCGATTCCCATTTCTCCCCAGTTTGTTATAAAATCAAAGCGTTCAAAATTATAAATTATTACAACGAAGATAGCACTTGGAAGTCTGGGTAATAACAAACCTCCTTTGGGCTATGAACTTTGGGCCAGAATTTGAGCAGTGATAGAATCACTGGTTCCGTAAGAGTCGGGTCTTTTTCCAGAAACTGCACCACGCAGTAAGCCAGCTGCGGATGATACACAGAGAGTGACTTCACCTGCAACATTCATTCGGTTAATTCACTCGATCACAATTCCGCCCTCAACACAATCCCCCTATTAGTGCACTTAGAAAAATTACTTTAATGCAACATCCAAACTGAGATGCACATGAATACAGTGCGCAACCGTCGACGTCACTGAAGCATGTTGTTCTGTGCAGTCATGACACTACCAGTTAAAAAAAAGCATACAATGCCCGCTAAAAATGGCGCTCGCCAACCCCGCCATTTTAGCAAGTGTGGCAACGTTATGTCTCAGACAGCTAGTATAATCGCATGTTTCTACATTTGTCTGTAGTGGACTTGGAATATTCAGATTTGTGCACTGAATTAAACCAAAATTCCAAGCCTTTAACTCATGCCGTTCTGCCGTTA